CACATGAAGTCCTCTCCACAGATAACCATTTGTTACTGAACAGGTAAATCAACTGCAGTATGATCTAATTGATAGATAAATACACAGCATATACTATATACAGTAAATAGTGTATGTTTATACAGTAAATACTGTATGGTACTATAAACCCATTACAGTACAGTATGTGGAAGATAACATATAGTATGTGTATATCCAAGATATATCCATCCATCCATTTTCACTCCGCTTTTCCTGGTGAGGGTAACGGTTGCTACAAGTCGAGTAGATCAGCCCAGACTTCCCTGTCCCCAGCAACAGATTCCAGCTCCTCCTGGGGGGATCACAGGCACTCCCAGCCCAGCCGAGAGATAATCTCTGGATCTGCCATGGGGTCTCCACTCAGTGGGTCATGCCCGGAACAACTCCAGCGGAAGCCGACCGGGGGGCATCCTAATGAGATGTCCAAACCACCTCAACTGGCTCCTCTAGATCTGGAGGAGCAGCGGCTCTACTCTGAGGATCTCCCGGATTGCCAAGCTTCTCACCCTGTTATGGAGAGTCAGCGCAGCAGCCCTGCAGAGAAACCTAATTTCTGCTGCTTGTATTTTTCGGTCATTACCCACAACTCATGACCTTTGGTGAGGATAGGGATGTAGATCGACTAGTAAACCGAGACCTTTGTCTTCTGGTACTGTGCCCGCAAAGCAGCTGACGCTGCCCAGGACAGTATTACCGGGACCTGCCCCTGGAGCCAGGCCTGGGGGTGGAGTTCATCGGTGAGCACCTGGTGGCCAGGCAGCCCACATAACTCGGCTGGGCTCAGCCCGAAAAGGCAATGTGGGGCCATCTTGTGGGCTCACTACTTGTACAACGAAGGGTGAGGGTCGGGTGTGATGCCAGCCTAGTATTAAAACATTTGATACTGAACAGATAAGTCTTACAGCTGCACACAATTGCAGTACGTTAAGGATTCACTGTACCACCTGACAGTTTTACAGAGCAGTTCAGCCCTACATCAGATTCTTAAAAAAATGAAAATCATGCCATGGCGCTGTTCAAGACACTAAGGTGCATAACACAATATATTGACTGATATTTCATGGATTCTAGATGGCTGCATCTGTATGGCAGACAGTAGTGAGAGACAGAGAGTAGCTGTAGTATAAAAAACTATGTGAAAGATATAAAAGAACTTGAGATACACTGATCAGCTTTTACATGTAAAACACTAGCATAAATCTTAGGTTTATGTAATGTCCTGCAACAGCAATTTCAAAATGGGATTATTTATGGATTATGGATACATACCTGCTTCATGTGATAACTGCTGCTTGTGAGGAGACAAATTAAACAAGAAATAAAGCAAGAAAAAGAAACGTTTTGCTGAACGTTTCATTGAGTTAAGTACAGCCTTACAAGCAGTGCTCACCTCAAGTGCTTATTCAACACTGGATAACTGTGTGATGTGTTCTGCAGACACTAATTACTGTACAAAGCACTGAATCAAAACATAAGACTTAATGTTATGGAATCCAGTAAGGTCCCGTCTTTGAATATAAGGTAGGGATAGCCTTTATAATATCAAGTAAAGGGCAACACAAAACAAACTTCAAAGCCTTCATCGTTAGTGATGCTGTTTCCATCCACGTGAGATTTATTCCTCAACCCCACCTCAATCTCAATTCCTGTTTTAGGAATCTTATTTTCCCTGCACAGAAGCTGCCAGTGATTATCCTAAGAGGGGGTAATTACCTCTGTAATGAGGCCATGAGCCTGCTTTAACCTTCCTCAGAGGACCAGAAAGCACAATAAAAATGTTTGGTCTCACTTTGAATCCTGCATCTTACCTCTTAGCTCAGATCTGCGACAAGGTAAGACCTACTCCACGAGTACTTGCAAAGTTTTTTTTTCACCTGCTAGAGAGACAGACACTGACATTCAAAATTTACCATTGCTGTACCAGTATATTCCAGTATAAACTTTATTTTGCTATGTCCATGTATGTCCATATGAACTAGAAAATACCGGTAGCACCAGCTTCCCCACATCCCTTAGTTAGAATAAGCAGTTAGAAAATGGATGGAATACTACTTAATGTTTTCACTTTCTAACATGTTATGTATTTTTTATTCTTTAGTTACATGTTTTTTATGTGTGTTTGGAAACAGAGACAATTATTTAAGTCTAATAACTTAAGGTTTGCAAACATCACTTGAAAACATTTTTGAAATATTCAGATTCTTCAAATACCCCATATTTTGTTAAACATTAAGAACAAAGAGTATCAGTATTTAGAAACGACTGTTGCGAAGCACTTGATTTCATATCTTCCAGTTTAATTTTTAATGAAGTTGTTACTTTTACAGGATTCTCAGGATTTATTTTCCTCTCTGGAATTTGTTTAAAATTGAAGTGATGTCTGCTACTAACCACACGGGATCATCAGTTACAGATTTTTTTATCGTCGGATTTCCTGGACTACAAGACCAGGGGAGCAAAACCATCCTCTTTTTTGCATTCCTGGTAGCTTACATCATCATTGTACTGGGAAACCTGTTGATCATATTCATATTTGTCTTTGATGAATCTCTTCACACTCCCATGTATTTATTGATCTGCAGTCTAGCAGTTTTTGATATTTCTTTCCCCTCTATCATTGTTCCAAAAATGTTAGCATTATTCCTGTTAAATTCAAACTTCATTTCATTTTATGCCTGTTTTACTCAGATGTTCTTTTACATGAGTATGGGTACAGCTGAAGGATTTCTTCTCACAGTTATGGCTTATGACAGATACCTAGCAATCTGTAAGCCACTGCACTACCATAATAAAATGACAAACAGCCTGGCCATTAGACATGTTGTGTGGTGCTGCACTGGTGGATTTCTTTCGTTGATTATTCCTACGATACTTGCTGTGAGGCTCCCCTTCTGTGGACCTGACAAAATTTTCCACTGCTGGTGTGATCTTTCCTCGGTTGTCAGATTAGCCTGTGCAAACATTGTGACCAACAGCATTCTGGGATTAACCATAGCATTGTGTGTGCTCCTTACACCTCTTTTCCTGATCTTGCTGTCCTATGTGATGATCATTAAGTCAGTCCTCCAGATCTCCAGCTCTGATGGGAAGATCAAAGCTTTCTCCACCTGCACCTCACACCTGCTGGTCATTTCTGTCTACTTCCTCACATCAGTGTTTGTGTACATCTCCTACAGGATACCTGGGACATCCGAGGATTTCCGCATCATGGCAGCAGTGATTCACGTTGTTATTCCTTCCCTAGTGAATCCATTTATCTACTGTCTGAGAACTAAAGATATCAGGGACAGTTTCAATAACACCCTGAAAAAGAGCAGGGTCTTTCCCCTGTTAAAGTGAAAGGATTCACAATTCAGACTATTAATGTTAATAGCAAGTTCCAAGAAGACATCATCATTCTGTTGTAACCCTCACTGTTTTGAGAAATACAGGAGAAATTAAGCAATTTCTCTGGATATACAAATATTTTTAAAAGTTTTTTATCACATAAAATTTAAAACTACACATTATCAGCAATCAAGATTTGCAATTAATTTCACTATAAGACCAAATTTATTTAAGTCTAAGCTTTAGAAAGAAGATATTTCAGAATAAAAGCAATGGTCAATGAATTTGTTGAACTTCACTCATTGTTCAATTACACTACACTTGTGTTTGCAGTGACATTAATACTGATTTATGCTGTCATCATTGTCATATATACTATACATGTTTAAATTTCCAATTTAAAGTTTTTAATCTCATTGCAATTGTTAAAATTGAAGTTTTTCCACAAGCAGATATTTTTCTAACCCTTTAAGGATTTTGAATGCTTCAGTCAAACATTCTCTGGGATTCTTTAGCATGTTTAAAAGCTCATTGAATATATATATAGCAATATAAATGTTGTGCTGGGCTGTGTGTTTTCTGTACATCATAATCAACCTGAAATCTAGATAGAAACATGTATGCCTGAAAAAATTACTCATTTTCTACCTAGTTTTTTTGGTTGTTGTTTTTGTTTGATTTGGACAAAATATGTCCAAATGAACTTAATGACAAATTCATATTCTTAAACATTTATCCTTTATAACTATTTTTTTAAATGGCAGATTTATAACATCTGATTGTATGGAACTACTAGTTATCTTTGTTGTCTTGCAGCTCTAGAGCCCTGGGTTCTATTCCAACCTGGTGTGCTAACTGCATGGAGTTTCCTCCCACATTCTAAAGACATACTGGTAGGTTCATTGGCTTCTGGGAAAATTGTCTCTAGATGTGAGTGTGTGCAAGTATGTGTGTCTGCCTGTGATGGACCCAGGTCCTGTCCAGGGTGTACCCTGCCTTGTGCCCATTACTTGCCAAAATAGGTTCCGGCTCCCCCAAAATCCTGGATGGATTTTATTGTAAAGAAAAATTCTTATGATGGAACAAAAGTTTTTTTTATTATTATTATTATATATGAGGGCCTTTTTTCTATTGTTTTAGGACAGACACACATGACTGGTAATTATACTGTTTGTGAAATCAAAGTTGTCAAGAAACAATAAAGCAATAATAAACTACTTTACTTTAATGGGAGGAAATATATTTTAAACAAAATGTAAACATTAATTTCACAATGTCCAGGACATACATGGACATAGTAAAATAAAGTTTATACTGGAATATAAACATGACATCCAATTGCCCTGAAATGTATACTTTATGTTTTTGAGACTTTTTTCCTTTCTGAACCACATAACTAGCATAATGTTATTTTTTGTAAACAATAGACAACATTTTTTTTTTATCCTGAATAATGACTCCACCTCTTCTTTCATCTATCCATCCATTTTTTACACAAGTATGGGTACAGCTGAAGGTTTTCTTCTCACAGTTATGGCTTACGACAGATACCTAGCAATCTGTAATCCACTGCACTACCCTAATAAAATAATAAACAGTTTGGCCATTAAACATGTTGTGTGGCGCTGCATTGGTGGATTTCTTTCATCAATTATTCCTATGATACTTGCTTTGAGGCTTCCCTTCTGTGGACCTGACAAAAGTTGGAGTGGAGTTATCCAGTGCCATTAAACTCTTTACTAATTTAACACATCCTGTCAGGATGTATGTGCTATGCTGCAGCTGCTTTTAAGCTGAGCTGCAGCGCAGTTATTGGTCAAAGCCCAAACACTGTTCTCAGTACATTGCTTAAGATGTTTACAAAGAAGCAGCAAATGACAAAATCAGTGAATGCATAGATAGATATGATGTACTGTAGGCAGGTGGAAAGGAGACAGTCTGTAAAGATCTGACTTAAAAAAAGAAAGGCAGGGTTCCCAGCCACACAGAATGTGGGATGAGTGTCACGAACACAGACTGAAATCCGTGTCAGATCTTGTGGAAGACCCTATGCGATGCGGTAAGAGCTGGAGAAAACAGGAGGCGTGGTAAAAGGGAACACACAGGGGTTTAATAGTGCACAAAATAATAGTGACAGTCCGTGAGACAGTGTACGGGGAAGACAAAACAGCATCCAAATCCAAAAGGGTCCAAGGGCAGGTCAAAGCACACCAGCACATGTGAGGTTGTCAATACCACCAGCACTTAATTAACAGCACTTACAGTACCTTACTCCCTGCTGGGTATTTATTCCAACTTCTGTGGGCTGGCCATGATTTGTGCACATGCTACTATTATGAGCTCCCACCCCAAATTTATTTTACTATTTCAAAATAAAAACTAGATTAAAAACTAAATTAAAACTAGAAAATGTTTATAAACCAGCTTTGAAGAACAAATAATACATAATTTATAAACAAGAACAAAAAGCACACATTTTAGAAAAATATAATATTTAAGCACTGAAAGTTATAAATAGGAACATAAATACCAATAATTTATTATAAACATGTTCTCTTGTTTCAAAATGATAGGAAATC